TTTTTGAAATTTATCTGTCCTTTAAACACAAATTTAATTCTGAAAATATGTGTTTAAAGAGCAAGTAAATTTTAAAACCACAATTAGAAAACGGCGCTAAGACTTTAAACATAATCTAGGAGGTTTAAATTCGTCATTAAGATTTTGTTGCGTTAACCACTCCAACAAAAAGTAAACAAATTTTAAAAATTTCATAGATTTTTGCATGTCCAAAGAAAACAAGTATTGCCTATGAATCATTATTAAATTTTCCATTATTTTTTTCCAGACGCATCCTCGTCCAATGAAGCTGTGCACTTGCAACAGCGCCTCAAGAGCCTTAGCACTGAGTTAGTCACGCTACGGAATCGGCTGCATGTTGGTCAGGGACAACACAATAACAACAATAGTAGCAATAGTAACAACAATAACAGCAATTGCAATGTGTCATCCGTGGGCAGTTCACATCAAAACCAACAACAACCACAACAACAGCACCATGCCACCAACTCAGCTGCGCTAACAGGCCACAATTTAAATGCATCCACACCGAATTTGCACACCATCACGCCACATCATAGCCATAATAACACAACAACAACAACAACAACAACAGCAACAAACAGCATTAATAACACATTNTCACGCCACATCATAGCCATAATAACACAACAACAACAACAACAACAACAACAACACCAGCAACAAACAGCATTAATAACACATTGCAACAGCAACAGCAACAGCAATTACAATTATCGCACTCAACACTAATTCCCACACTCGGCGGCAATAGCAATAGCCACAACAATAACAACAACACCAACAGCAGCACCAGCAGCAGCAGCAACGCCATCAACAAATGCAATACCGGCAATAGCAATAGCAATAACAATAAGAACAACAATCACGCCAGCAACGCAACCTTGACGTCATGCAATAACGCCAACAACACCAACAACACATTCACGCACATCAACAACAACCACACGAACAATAGCAGAAAGGTGAGTAATCGCCTAATCGCCGGCGTTGAAATGGCCAATCGCTGCTTTTGCAAAAATTACTATGCAATTACATTCAATTACTTGTTGTCTTTTATATTTCTTATTTTCANTTGAAATGGCCAATCGCTGCTTTTGCAAAAATTACTATGCAATTACATTCAATTACTTGTTGTCTTTTATATTACTTGTTTTCGCATTAGTCACATTTGCACAGCTACAGCCACACATTGCCGCATAATTCCACAATTTCCGCTGCCAACGCCGCCGTCGCCGCCGTCGCCGCCACATTGCCAACAGCCGCTGCCGCTGGCATCGTTTCCACACGCAACACTTCCATACCACACCCATTGCCGTCATCCATACAGCAGCAACAACAGCAGCAACATCAACAACATCAACAACAACAACAACAGCAATTGCGCGACCAACAACAACTGCATTCCGCGCACACGCTTCCAATGCGCTCCACTGCTGTTGGCTCACACGCACATCACCTAAGCCATAACTTGTCACCCTTTGTGCCAATTGCACATAAACAGCCGAGCTCCAGCCATGGCAGCGGTTTTAGCAACATTGTCGCACCTTTCGGCTATAACAGTACAAATGTTGAGCAGCGTAATGCCAATAATCAGTTTATGGGTGGCATGCAGACGCTACACGGCAGTGGCGGCAGTCACCATCACAGCGGCGGCGGCGCCAGCAGTGGCAACAACAACAACAACAGCGGCGGTGGAAGTGGTGTACACAAGCAGCCAAGAGAGATTGAAGATCTGATACATCTACCCGGCCCGCTGACCGAGGATGCAGTGATGCGTACGCTGCAGGCGCGCTTCCACGACAATCGCTACTTTGTAAGTGTCGGACAAGTTTAATTGAATCCATTGAATTTCATTTAAACACAATAACATTTACTTTTCCTCTGAACCAGACAAACGTCGGCCCCATACTGCTTGCCATTAATCCCTATCGAGATGTTGGAAATTCGCTTACGCTCTCCTCAACACGCTCGCTGCCATTAGCTCCACAGCTACACAAAATCGTACAGGAGGCTGTACGTCAGCAAACGGAGACTGGCTATCCACAAGCTATCATTCTATCTGGCACCTCCGGCGCGGGTAAGACACACTGTTCGATGTTGTTGCTACGTCAATTGTTTGCTGTTGCCGGTGGCGGCCCAGAAACCGATGCATTTAAGCACTTAGCTGCTGCTTTTACGGTGCTACGTTCGTTGGGTTCCGCCAAAACGACCACCAATTCGGAATCGAGTCGCATTGGCCAATTTATCGAGGTGCAGGTGACAGATGGTGCGCTCTATCGCACCAAGATACACTGTTACTTTTTGGATCAAACGCGCGTCATACGCCCACTGCCGAAGGAGAAGAACTATCATATCTTCTATCAGATGCTTGCTGGCCTAAGCAGAGAGGAGCGCATTAAGTTGAATTTGGAAGGTTATTCGCCGGCGAATTTGCGTTATCTGCATAGTGGTGATATTGCGCAGAATGAGCAGGAGGATGCGTCACGCTTTCAGGCATGGAAGACTTGCTTGGGCATCTTGGGTATACCATTTTTGGATGTAGTGCGTGTGCTGGCAGCCGTATTGCTGTTGGGCAATGTGCAATTTATCGATGGGCAGGTGAGTTTCGCAGCAAATATTTTGTAATTATATTGTAGCTACTTATTTTAGAAAGCAAGCCACTAGTCATCTTTCGCTTGATGACTGGCTAGCGAGGAGGTGTGCTTCTCTCATAATTATTTCGGATACCTTGACCTTTCCGTTTTCCCACTGAAGTTTGCGGGAGCAACGTATACGTTTTTAGCTGTTTTTCTGATTGAATTCTTTGCTCAATTCATTGTTAAAAAAAAATTTAATAGGCGGCTGGCGGATTTCGAACCCGACACCTTTCGGAAGCCAATAAAAGTAGCAAATGTTCGGCTTGAAAAAATAAAATACAATTATTGCTTTCAAATAAAATCATCTTTTTGGAAAGTTTCGAACCTTTTCCGGGTACAAAATTCAATGATAATTATAGTAGTTTTCTATTCGTTTCCGGGTACGAAAACCCGCAATTTTTTTTGCACGTTGATGGATATGTAAATGAACGAAAATTGTAGACGTTTGCTGTTCGTTTCCGGATGCGGAAAATTATACGGGACCGCACTGGCGGCAAAATTTACATTTCTCTGCTAGCTGGGATATAAAGTGATTTTAGGCAATTTTTTCGTTATTTTTTTTCCACACTTTGTAT